GGGAGAGTGAGCAGAGAATGTTCCAGAGCCAGGGTCAGATGACAAATAATGACCAATGGCAGACTGTGAGCCAGGAGTAGCTGGAGGCTGTGAAGTCTGGGGGCAGCCCTGGAGCAGTGGAAAGAGCTTGGCTTCAAGCCAGCCCTGGTTCTGAGTGGCTGCTCCAGGTCCACCCATGAGCATATACTGCTCATGACCTGGGGTTATATGCCTAATCTTTCTGTGTTTCCACATCCCCTCCTACAAACCGAGGCCCCTGACAGCATCAACCTCCCAGACTGGTTGTGAGGGCCAAAAGTAATTCATTCGGTATTTGCTCTAAACCATCTAAGTGGCAGCTGCTTATCTAGGTGTGAAAGAACAGTGAACTGGACCCTCTTCTCATGCTTCTTCCATTCTAGCTTGGAGATAACAACACTTCACAAACAGAGCGACTGTCAGTTAATATCAGCACAATGTAAAAAAGTTGAAATTGGAGAAGAGATGTGAAATGAGTGGTGCGAAGCATGTCCAATGGTGAGCAACAATATGTGACAGCTACTCTTTCCTACCATTATAATGGGCAGGAAGAAGAAATGGGACTTGGTGGTTCTAGTGGTAATGTATTCCTCATTATTATGTATTAGGAGCCCTTTGTCAAATAACCTGAAAACCCACTAGTTTTGAGTGGGCCCTAGGACATGAAAAAGTCCTCTGCTCCTACACCTATGACCTCCAGAGGAGTCTCCTATGAACAGGTGGCTGGAGAACAAAACTAAACACCTCTGGCCTAGATTATTGGTATTCCTTCACTGCAGGCGGCAACACTATATTGATTTTATATTGCTACACAAGAAATCATCACAAGCAGAACAGCTTAAAACACCACACATCATGGCCTCGCAGTTCTGGACATGGAAAGACCCAGAAGGCTCATCTAGCATCTCTGCTGGATGACTCACAAACCCAAGTGAAAGCCTTAGCTAGTTTGGTGCTTATCTAGAAGCTCTGGAATCATCCACTTCAACTCATTGAGGGTGTTGACAAGTCTACCTTCTGAAGGGTGGAGAACAAGGTTCCCATTTCCTTGCAGCTGTCAGCCAAGAGGTGCTGTACAGTCTACAGCCATCTTCATGCCTTCTTAGGAGTGCTTCTTTATCCTCACATTGGTCATTGTGTGCCACATGCTTTTTGTGCTTTGAGTCTCTCTGACCTCCTCCTCCATTCCTTGATGGGGAAAACTTTGAAAGGATCCCCTGAGTGGGTCAGGCCCACCATATTCTCTCTGTATCTCAGGGTCAACTGACTTGGGATCTTAATTACATCAGCAAAATCCCACCAGAATGGTACTCACACGTGGTATTTCTGTGTTTGATAGAAGAGATGGGAATATGGGAGGGCATGATTAAAATCTTGCTGTGTTAGTCTGCTCATGCTGCTTTAACAAAATATAGTAGACTGGGAGGCTTCAACCACAGAAATCAATTTCTCATTGTTCTGGAGGCTGGGAAGTCCAAGATCAAGGTGCTGGCAGGTTCACTTTCAGGTGAGGGCTCTTTTCCTGGCTTGCAGACAGCCGCTGCTGCCATGGTCTGAATGTTTGTGTCTCCCACCCCAAATTCATATGTTGAAATCTTAATCCCCCAATGTGATGGTACTTTGAGGTAGGGGCCTGTCTTTCTGGGCTCAGTGGCTGGGAGGGACTGTCTCTTGTTGATGCTTGGAGTCAGGCAGGGAGTCAGTAGATGAAAGGGATGGCTACTCCTCTCTACATCAACATCATGTACTTTGAAATGGGGTCTTCAGCAGATCTACATGAACAGGATTTTTGCCCTTCTAAAAGAGGTTCCAGAGGTGCCTGGGTGGCTCAGTTGGTTGGGCATCCAACTGTTGATTTCAGCTCAGGTCATGATTTCAGAGCTGTGTGATCAAACCCTGCCTGGGGCTCCACTCTCAACAGGGAGTCTGCTTGAGAATCTCTCACTCCCTCTGCCCCCACTCATGGATCTCTCTCTCCCTTTCTCTCTCTCAAATAAATAAATATTTAAAAAAAAAAAGAGCCTCTAGAGTGTTCCCTCATTCCTTCAGCCTTGTGAGGACACAGTGAAAAGACAGCTGTTTGTGAACCAAGAAGCAAGTTCTCACCACACACTGAATCTGCCCATGCCTGATCATGGACTTCCCAGCCTCCAGAATGGTGAAAAATACATTTTTGTTGCTTTCAAGTTACCCAGTCTATGGTGTTTTGTCATAGCTTCCCTAATAGACTAAGATAGGTGCCATCTTGCTGTGTCCTCATATCGTGAAGGAAGAGACCAAGCTCTCTGGTTTCTTCTTATAAGGGCACTAATATCATCATGAAGGCTCCACCCCCATGACCTCATCTAAACCTAATTACTTCCCAAGGGCCCATTTCCAAATACCCTCACATTGTGGGTTAGGACTTCAACATATGAATTTGGGGAAAGACACAAACATTTAGTCGTAACACTTGCTTACCACACAGGCCAAATGTGGACAACATCCGTACTACAGTCTCACCTGGGACTTCCCTGAAGGACACCAGTGAAGGGTAAGCCAGAGGGTAGATTTGAGCAGAGGTACAAGTGTATGGTCCTGTACAAGCTGTGTTCAAGTCATTGGCTGAATGGTCAGGGACTTTGAGGGTATGTGATTGAAAATTTGTGACAAGGAGGCCTGGAAAGGAGGTATGTGGATACACCCATCCAGACAGACATATGAAGATAAGTGTGTCGCATGGGTGATCAGCAAATAACCTTGCTGGTGCAGAAGTTTAATAATCTAATGAATAAGGTATTCATTATCTAGGTATCAATCAGCATCTTCCTACAGCATTTGTATCATCCCCAGTGAGCTCAAGTGCAAAGTCACCAAAGTGGCAGGGATGAAGATTATGCCAGAAATCATGACTTCTCAGAAACAGTATCTATTGTATATCAGCATCCAGCATAATTTGATTTTTCTCCTACAGTCAGGATTCATGGGTCTTGAAATCCAGGGGTGAAAATGGAAGAGCCTCATATCACAGTTTATCCCTAAATTCTTCCCACCTTTATGACTTCAGGCTTAGCCAAACCAAAGGTCTTCATCCCAGAGGGAGACATGATTTCACCAAGGAACACACCAGTGATGCCAATGAGAGGGAACTGGGACTGCCAGCTAGCCATTTTGGTCCCCTCAGCCTTCTCATTCCAGAGGCAAAGAAGGGAGTCCCGTACTGGCTGGCAATCAAAGAGTATCTGGGTTCCTGCTACACAAGGAACTAAGAAGGGGTATGCCAAATATGTCTGGAGAGCTTCTTACTACTCTCTCATTTTGTGTTTTGAGTTTGTGGAAAATGGCAACAACTCATTTAAGGAAGAACATCAAATGGCCCAGACCCTTCAGCAATGAAGTCTTGAGTCACTCTATCAGACAAAGCACCATGACCAGCTGAGGTTCTGACTCAGGGCAAAAAGAATAAGAGGTGGGCAGTGAAAGGAAGCAGTTATAAATTCCAGCTACAACCATGTGACCTGCTACAGAACCCAGGACTGTAATATCATTGAGCTTGGTAAGTTAATAACATACTCCTCCTCTGGTTGATAAGTTAATAACATCCCCCTCCTCAGGTAAGAGAACAAAGAAAGAAACAAACAACAAACTGCTTTCATAGAAAATTTTTAGGGCTATAGCCCAACTTATACTGACAGAGAACCATAAAATTTAAAGTCTCCACTGCCTTTTTTCTTAGCCTTTTCTTGACTACAACATTTTAGGAGGGTTTCAGCAATATCTCATTCCATCATACAGCATAGAAAGTTTATCCTTGCTTCTCACTGGTCTTTGCAAGAACACGATTTTTTTTTTCTTTCCTGGTGGTTAACCTTCTTGAGATGGGGGCAGGATTCTATTTTTTCTAATACCTTCTCAAGTTGCTGAATTAATACACCTCTTTAAAACCTGAAAGTAAAGACAAATACAAGTACAGAGGCTATCTAACACATCTCTGATATGTAAGAGATAGTAGTGGATACACAATAGAGCTTACAGTCCCCATGGGAATAGGAAAATGCATCTTCTTGGAAAAATGCCAAGAGTACCAATTGAGGGCCTATGCCCACACCAGATATAGTGAATATGGACATTCCATGGGCTTGAAAGAATGGGTTAGACTAGGATAATATCCACCAATATGCCTAGGAAAATGAGCGTGAACTATGATTGAGGGCTGGGGCTTTTTTGTGACCCTGTTCAGCACTGAACACAACTGTTTGAAAAAATTGGAGAGTTAAAAAAAAAAAAAAGAAGAAAATAGAGAGTTCTTTGTTTACACCTACCTTGCAGCTTCCATGATGGTGAATTCAACAAATTGTTTCTTGACTGCAAGAGGTCCTTGCACTTCTTCAATCAAAGTGAAAATCCTTTCATACTCTGAAAATCATTTTTTTTTAATTCAACATTTTTAAAAACATGAAGATGGTCTAGAATTCCACCTTAGTGAATCCACTCTGTCAGTAATCATTCCTCATGGGCTAGAGGATTACATGGTGTTTGTGTTTTGAATGCTCACTAAGGAAATGATTGTAAACACTAACCAAGCAAAAGGTACTTAGGAATTTTGAGACCAATTCAAGAGAAATCACCCTAAATTATGTAAAAACCCAATATGGTCAAAGGATGAGTTCAAGAGGTGGGTTGAATATTCTAAATCATAGAATGAGACAGACTTCCCATGGTTTTATTAGAGCCATTCTTTCACTACTTACTTCGCCCAAACTTCCTAACTTCCTTCATTAATTGATATTTTATATCATCATTAATTTTCTTTGCCACAGCAGGACTTATTTGCAATGTATTTGGCACTGCTCCTGGTGAAGACATTGCTGGACCTTTTGGGTCACCTGCAGAGCCACTGCAGTTTTTGGTTCCTCCTCCAAGTGAATTACTACCAGGTTTGGGAATCAGGACATCTTTAGCAAAGTCATCAGTGGGAGAACCCTGTTGGTTGGGTGGAATACCAGCTCCTGCCCTGTTCGTAACTTCTGGCGCAGCAGCTTTTGGCAAGAATCCATCAGGTGGAGTTGGATGACTTTCTGTCTTCTTGTCACAGACATCGTGAGTGACAGTAGCACCTGGAAACCAGTTAAGAGATTGAGCTCTGAGGTAGGTGTATTTTGTCACTCCCACAGGGACATCCCTGTCCTCTGCAGTTTTGAGAGCATTATTTATTTCATAAGGCAGGAGTATGTACCAAGTGGGAATGTCAGATCCCACAAATAGGGCTCTGTAAAGATTATACAATAAATCATCTTTTCTCTCTTGGCACTATGAATTCATACAAAAATGTGGTTGGACAGCACAACTAATAAATAAACATTCACAGAGCCCTCGCACTCATGATTTAATGTCTCCTTGATGCCCTTTACGAGGTGGAAAGCTGAACATCTCACTTGATGTCAAGATATCTGATTTTGGCACTCCAACACCAAAAATCCCAGTCAGTATATGATCTTCCTCATTTGTCTTTTCTGTCTCAAAAAAGGTGAATTTCCTTTTACTCCAAGTCCAACACCTCTACTTCAAATGCTCAGCCTTCTCTGTGCCAGGAACCTTGCCAAATGCTGGGAGATCAGCAGGGAACCAAACAGACAGAAACAGTCCTTACCCTTATGGAACTTGCATCCTCATGGGGAAGTCAGACGGTATGTGTAAAAAAGGAAAAGGGATTAACATCGTTTGAATTTGTGTTGGGAAGGAAGGAAGCAGGGATGTGAGTGAGAGCAGGATGGGAAGCCTCCATGATGTGAGGTCAGGCAGGGCTCTCTGAGGAGGTGATCCCTGGGCAGAGCCAGGAGCAGGAGACAGATCCGGCCTGTGCACACACAGAGGAGGCAGTCTGGCTGCCATGAGGGCCATGCACAGCCTCTACAAGGGGATAAGCCAGGGCCATGGAGCAAAGGTCAGAGGCAGAGAGAACAAGGAGGACATGTAGAGGACACATCATGGGAGGAGAGGATGGCAGGGTCAGGTCGTGCAGGACACAGAGACCAGTGTCAGGAGCTCAGATTCTGTTCTGCATGCTCGGGGAGTTGATGATGACTTTCAGGATAGACGTAGCACAATCTGGTTTCTGTGTGGATATGGTCACTTTGGCCACAGGGCAGTGAATGGGTTAGACAGAGACAAGAATGGGAAGCCAGGGTCGAGGGTGGGGGGGCTGGGTGGCTCAGTTAGTTAAGTGTCTACCTTCAGCTCAGGTCATGATCCTGGGGTTCTGGGACCGAGCCCCACATCGGGCTCTCTGCTCATGAGGAGACTTCTTCTCCCTCTCATTCTGCATGCCACTCCCCCTGCTTATGCTCTCTCAGTCAAATAAATAAACAAAATCTGAAAAAAAAAAAAAAAGAATGGGAAACAGGGAAATCTGATGAGAAACTGCTATAGTAGCTTGGGGACAGATGGTGGCAGCATACACTAGAAGGATGGAGACAAAGGGGCCAATACAAGAATTCTGTTGGATGTCAGGTTGCCTGGACTTGCTAAAGGATGGAAGTGAGAGAAGAACAGAAGAATAACAAGAAGAATCATGAGCGAATCTAAGTGTTCTGGCCTGAACCACTGGGGAAACAATAGTATAGGTGTGTGCAGGTTGTTAGGCCACTGCTCACAGAGTCGCAAGTGTGGTTAACCTCTCCTGATTCTAGTTCAGTGACCTCAGGTTGGTAGCTTAAACTAGGCCATGGTTGGGACCATTTACACTATGGATATCTACAACTATATATATTGGGGATTCTAGACCCTCCCAGGACTCCCCTACCTGTGGGCAGCATGTTGTTACACCTTTTTGAATGTTACATGGATGGATAGTGTTATTAGCTGAGATGCAGAAGGCTGAAAGTAGAGAATTTTTGGAAAGGGAGAGGATCAGAAGTTCATGTAGAAGCAGTTGCATGTTAGACATGTAGTAGACACTGATTAGAGATGCCGTGTAAGCAGTTGTATTTGAGACTAAAGTTCAGGAGCAAATTGTAGTCTAAAAGTACAAAGGTAAGAGTTCTTAAGTGTGAATCATAAACTGTAAGTCTGTGGAATAACTTAAGGAGGTAGAGGGTTGAAGTAAGAAGGGTCCAATATCCTGTTTTGAGCCTCTGAAATATTAGAGGTGGGAAAGAAGAGGGGAAAACTAGAAAAGAGAGAAGGAAAAGGAGTCACTAATAAGGGGATAAGGAATCTGGGGAATGTGGTGTCTGGAAACCCAAGAAGTTGTCCATGGAAGAGAAAGCAAACAAACATATCACGTGTTGCTAAGAAATTAAAGTCAGAGTGTAGCAGCCACTGGTGACCTTGACACTAGTGGCTTCATTGGACTATTTTAGGGAGAAGCCAGACTAGGTTAGAGCGCTGGGTTAGACCATGAACACAATGTGAAGACAGGCAGAACATGTGCAGACCCACCCTGTTGTCAAGCCTGTCATCTTTTCTGCCTCAGGAACTCTTTATTCTAAGTCTTACTTACACCACTCCAAATGGTTGGACCTAACACTGCGACTTGCCCCCCACACTTGCGAACATGCTCATATCTGTCCATCCCTCAAGGACATAACTACAAACTTCCTCTGACATGGCTGAGCCCTAAAAATGGGGTTCCCACACTCCCTACTCTTTGCTTAACCATGGTGACATACTCCACCTTCTCTTAGTTGATGAGGGGCTGCTGGGCTTTCCAGGACGCTTCATTTGCTGTTGAAGTTCTGCTGAAAACTGATCTCCTCCATCATTCTTTGTTTGCTGAAAAATGTCCATGAACATACTCCATTAAAGACAAAATCCAATCATTGGAAAACCACACTCTTCATATACTCATATAGCCATGCATTTATATTATTAATATAAATTTTAATCATTAGCCAAAAATTTATACTCACCCAACCCACACTGTGTTCTCAGAAAATGCAATCCAATTTTAATTTAACCTAAGTGAAATAAGGAGGAGGTAAAATACAAGGTTTGGGTCCAAAACAAAACATGGGACAACCATGGCTGTTAAGAATGCTGGAGAATGAGTGGCTCTCATCAGTCAAAATTAGAAATACATGATTATCTCTTTGGAGTACACACCATGTTGCTTTACATTTTGTTAGTGGAAAAAAAAGAAAATACCTTTTTTGTGCTTTGTGCTTTAAATCTCTTAACAAACACTGATTAACACTCCATTAAATGATACATGTAAATAGTAAAAGGTAGAATCTATTGAAAATGTAAATCTGCCCATCCCAAAGTTTATGGAGAATGAAATCTGTCATCCTTGGAGCTAGGTGGGTGTAGGGAGTGCTTTTCAGTGTTGGTAGTAAATCAAATGTGAAAGCAAGGGTGTAATCCATTAACTAAAAGCTGTTTTCACCAAAGGATAACCTGAGGATATGCCCCTGCACTACCTGAATACAGTTGAAATAAGAATATTTTCCCCAACCATTTGCATTTCCCATAAAAGAGGAATCCAGAATGAGTGAAAATGTTTTCATTGAGCATTTACTCTCCACCAGGTATTGTTCTCAGTGCTTTACATTAACTCAATCCTCCACCAAGCCCTTAGGTGTGATTACTATCTCCATTGTTAAAAATGAGGAGACTAAGGCACAGAAAATTAAGAAAAATTCCAATTAACTGAGGAGTTTGGGGTGAGATGGGACAACTGTAAGTCTTGTTTTGTTACAGAAGAGATGGTAGCATGTTCTGTGCCTTTCTATCAATGATCTCTTCCATGAGAGCAGATACAAACCTCTTCATCTTCATGCTTCACTGATTAAGTCAGTATGTCTGTCTCATAGACACTACACATGTCTCACATTAAAATGTTCATAAGGACAATCCAATCATGGCAACATTATCTAGTACCTCAAGTTTCAAGAGGAACACTTAGCCATTTTCTGGGAAGAGCACTAATGACTTGAATAATGGAAACAGAGGAAGTAGACTATGATCTCAACATCAAAAGGGTCACTGGAGGATGAGGTGGGCAAGAATACAGACTATGGAGCCAGAAAGATGTGGATTCAAATCCCGACTCTATCTCTTACCAGCTGTGTCATTCACGACAAGGCGTTTGACCCCTGTCAGCCATTGTCTTATTAAAGGTCAGATAGGAACACTTGTCTGCAGAACAATTGTAAGCATTAAATGTGATGATCTAAAACACCAGCTACTGCTTTAGTAAATGGCAACTATTATTTTTTTCCCATCAACACACTCTCAGATCAGCAGGCTCCCACCTTTTGTTCACAGAAGAATACTTGTATCATATTTCACCTTCTAAATAAATAGTAGAGCATATGACTTACATTAATCCTTTGAAGAAAATAATTATACCAAATATACCATAATTTGAGCAGAAATTGTCATAGTTATGTTACCTTCTTATCATTTTTAAGCCAATAACTAGAAGTATAAACTCTTTTAGGTTGTCCTGGATCAGTCTCCTGAATGGGAGAAGCTGTCGTCTTCAGATGTTTCTCATAGTTAATTATTTGTGTGAGCAGAACACTCTGATGGGAAATTAGGAAGTCATTGGGAAAGAAATTGATGTTATGCAGCGCAAATGTATGATCCTCTAGGGAGGACATAGCCAAATAATGTGTTAGTGAGGTGCACCATGGCTCTAAATAGGATTTAGAATCTCATATCTAGGATATCTATCACACTCCAGAGTCTAGAATCATCTCTCCTCATCTAAGTCATTAATCAGTCCACCAATACTACTGTCTATAGGCTAAAACCACTACGTCCAGAACAACTTCCTTTATGACGCAAGCCAGGTTAGAGAATGGGTTGATCAACCTTATACTATCCTCCCAACTAAAAGACCATATTTTTTCCCATTTGGAAGAGACTGTGTTCCATGACATTGTTTTATAATCCAAAGAGCCTTGAGGACCTTAACTTCTTTGAATAATTTCATTAAACCTACAGATTTTCTTTCTAGGAGAGTTGCTTTATAAACAAAACTTGGTGTATAATTTCAGGGGTGTGTCCAGACTAAGATCTGTTCAATTAGACAGATGATCCCACTTAAAATCTTCAAAAAGGGGACAAAGAAGCATTATAGACTGACACAAAT